TTATAGAAGATATTATTTGAATAAGGAATGACATTAAAGACCAAGAGCCAAGGTGAAGAAGAAAAAAGATCAATTAGAGAATATGCAAAGATTAGATAAGAATATAAAATATATATTATAGGATATCTTTGAAGTAGATAAATTGACAAAGGATCCTAGGAGTATAAAAGATATACTAAAGGTATATCTTCATATTTGATAAGATTCTAAAGAAAATACTTGATATATCCTTTGATGGATGTAAAAGTCAAAGAATGGGAGTTGTCATTAAAGGTAGCAACCACCTCTTATAAATAACAAGTATTTGAAACAAGAGTTATCTTATTCCATATTTTCTTTGTGTATAACTTTGTTCATGCTATGTGTTGTGACTTTGAAGTTGTCTTTCTTCAATATGTTCTTTTAAAAAATATTAAAAAATATTTAATCTAATTTTTTAACTAAATTTATTTTTAATGAATGTATTTTCTAAAGTAATTAAAAAACATAAAATATCATAATAATTTTGTAGTATTTTTAAGATTTTTAGATGATAATTTTTTTAATTATAGTTTTAAAATAAATAATTATATAATTATAAATAAAAATGAGATCTAATCTCATTTTAAAAAAGATACAAAATAGAAGGTATTATTTCATCAAAGCTAGCTCAATTCAAATAACTCAACAACTTCAAACATTACTTTCATATAATACTTTGTCCAAAATACATACCATTAGGAAAAAAATTATAATTATAGACATAATTACATTTGCTAGATAATATTTTTATAATTTAAGATAGTAAAAAAAATAATTAATTTTTAGCTTTGGTAACCTTTTAGAAAAGATGATTAAAATTTTAATTCTTTTGATCTAAGATTTTATATTTTTCAAAAATTTAAAAATAATAATAAAATAAAATATTTTATATAGATATATATATATATATATATATATATATAATTTTATATATTAATAAGAAAATATAAAATAGAGAATAGAAAAAGAATTAAAATTACTTAAAATTTTGTAATTTTATTATTTAGATATGTTTTTTAAGATTAAAAATACTTCATTTATTATTAAACCAATCAATCTAAATCTTAGAAATCAATCTTCTATAAAATATCTTATTTAATTACTATTAAAAATAATTAAAAATTAAAAATAATATATCTAATATTAATTCTAATTATATTAATTTTTAAAATTTTATATTATTTAAATATAAGACTTATTAAAATAAAAATAAAAAAAATTAAGACACTTACCCTTCTATTTTTTTTTATAAAATTGATAGACCATTGAAGCTACTCCATCTATACAATTAATGAAATCTCTACAACTTATAATATTAATATTTAAATATCAATTAATACAATCAAAATCACAAGGTTTTTTTCTTTAAATTGATGATATAAACAATTCCACCATTTTTGAAACCTAGCCATCATCTAAACTTCCAACAACTTCAACTAATAAACAACAATGTACTCAAAAACAACCTCCTTCTATAAGCATATATATATTTCAAGATTAAAGATTTGAAAGTGTTCTTACAAGTATTTGGCTTGCACATTACAAGTCTTATACAACAACCTCATATATTTCAAAAGCATATCAATGAAAACATATTCTATCTTTATATCTATTGAAAAAAAACGTATCCAATTAATTACAAGCAATGCAATTTATTACACCTTTTCCTGTTTGTAATTGATATTAATATTAGTTTAGTAAATAATATTGGATAGAAATATGTAAAAACATATTAGATAGATAATGTCTATTTCAATAATATTTAAAAACTTCTTAACTCTATTTAGATATTTCGATTCATCTAAATATTACAAGTAGCTATTAAAAACTTGTCCTACAAGTTTTTATTTTAAAAAATCAGGATAGAAACAACCTTCAACTTAGATGTTTTGACTGTAAGCTTTACAATCCTTAGAAAACTTCTGCAAGATCTTATTAGTAGCTAGTAAATATAGGAGGAAGATTGTGTTTATCTTTAGTCTTTTTAACACTTTATATATATTAGCGTTTTGATTGAAGACTCTTTGGTTTTTTATTTTTGTTCAACAATTGCCATTCTTGTTCAACAATAGATCAAGAGTGTGCCTCCATATGTTCAAAAAAAAAACAATTAAATCAAATTAAAATTTTGAAAAACATCGGGAGCTACAGTGCCTTGCGGGCCATAGCGAGATCCGGAAGGACTGATGAGTAAGTAGTGATAATGGTCCCAAACGGGTGGGGCCTTACTTCTCAAGCCTTCATTAACTCACGGCATGTGCCCCTATTGTTGGCGCCCTGTGTCACTTGTCGGGGATCAGGGGTTGCAAATGCCAGCCAGCCAGGCCCGGCCCCCCTGAACCCCTAACTCCACTGGCAACCCCAATTCTCCTTCCGAACCTCCTTCCGAGCCTGCCCACTCAGACTCCAACACCACCACTCCTACAACCCCGTCATCATGATCCTTCTCAGCCACTCCGGCCAGCGAGGTGTGTGTGCTCCCGCAACAACTAACGGGCACCATCTGACAAAATCTCTCAACCCCACCCACCCCACCCTCCCCCCGGCCGGTAACGCCCCCTCGCTCCCATCGTTCTCAATGATTGCGCTCTTTCGCTCTCACCAGAAGTACCCGACTTTTGTTCGTTCCCTCCCACCCGGACCCATTGGGAACGCCATTGCTCATGTAGCTTGGAAAACCCTTTGTTCTCAAAGTAGGACCCGCGATAGAGTCCACGGAGCAGGCGGGGTGTGATGGATGTGATCATGAGAGAGGATTGCCAAGCTGGCAGGGCACGAGGGCCGGAGAGGGTGGGGGAGGGTAGGGGGGTCCTCTGACGCCATGTGCTCGCTCTAGAACTCCCTTCAATGAATGGGCATTGTGGACCAGGCCCAGGTCGCACCCATCCCGGCCGTAAGGCGAAGCGAGAGAGACCCCAGAGGATGCGAAATGCTGATGTGGCACCTTGACCCCTCCGAGATACCGGTCAGCATGGCTAGTCACGGTTGGTACGGTAGGGGATCCTAAGTGTACACGTGGCGTGATTTGTTAAGGCGGATGCTGAAGGTGAGGAATAGCATCCCTTGTGCTGGGTCTGTAACCGCTTGACTAATGGATGATAACCATCCGTCATGATGTCGTGAGACTTACCGTCGGCAGTTACGAAAGCTATCCTCCGTCACCGGATGAACGGCGATGGGGACTTGTGCCTGTCTCAATCCTGCTTAGAATACTGGATTTTTTTGGAGAAAACTGCTCCCACAAATATAAATTCGAATGGTGGAATTAATTCTGTGCTGTATAAAAATTCCAAGTGAGAATTACAGGAAGCAAAATTTCGAAAATATATGTTTGCTAAGTCTTCAAAATGACACATTTCGTCTAATTTGGAAGAAATCTTTCTGTAATAATTCTTTGACGTGATCATTATTGAACTAGCACTAATCTTAATATACCTCTACATGAATAACAATGTGATATTTTAATGTGATACAATGTGATATAAAAATGTGTAAAACTCCAAATAAGTTATATTGATGCTAATTTAAGATGGTTATTGAACTAATAATGTTTTTTTATAAATAAAAAAATACAATTTATTCTTATTTAATTTTCATGAATGTTAAATATTTATAAAATATTGATTCATAGCATAGGATCTTTTTTCCTTTTTTCCTGGTGTACCGTTTAATTATTATTTTTTAATTCTTCTTATGAAGAAAGTATTTGTTTTGCTACTAGGACTGCTGTCTCACTGTTGTAATAATACTTTCACCACCGCTTGATGTAGGATTTGAATTATGAAGTTGTGATTTTTTTTTTCATGTTGTTGTTATTGCTGTCTCTCTCTCTCTCTCTCTCTTTTCTTTTTTTTTTTTTTTTTTTTTTTTAAGTTAGTTGGTTGGTTAGTTAGTTGGTATTTTTCTTTTTCTTTTTCTTTTTCACAATGTAAATGTCTCTCCTTCAGTTTAAAGAATATTTTAACAAACATACATTGTAACTCATTGTTATTGTTATTAAAATTTAGTGCCAACAGAATGATCAAGGTTACACTTAAAAATTACAAAAAAAAACTAAATTGTGCAAATCACTTTCCTTAATTGTAAAACCATGCACTTACTTAACTTATATTTCAATTTCTGCCTTGTTCTTCATACAATTAAGATCTTTACTTTAGTTTTAGAAGTTATGTTTCTTCAACCATATACTCAATAAATAAATTAATTAATTAAAAACTTCTGTTGTTAGGATAAAAAAATTAGTTTCTAAAAGTAAATGTTTTACCATATTCTATTATAGCAATGAATCACATTACATTATGCATCATTTATATTGTCAAAGTTTATTTATTTGATTTTACATTAGGATATTGATACAAAAAATAAAACAATGCTCATCTTATGATTGATGAGTATTGCAACATGCCCGGAAAGAATCTCTTGTATATTTGCACGCATACGTGTCTTTTTGAACGATCAACTTGACTAATTTCATTATACAACAAACCACATATCTGAGCACGAACCTTTAATTATGTTTTTAAAAATTATATATACATATATACACACTCACACAAATACACATATAATTTTTGAAAACAAGGTCTGCACGCATTTGCTTCGAAAGTCATCAACCATTGTGTGAATGGAGATAGCAATAAAACTGACAATGCTCAAAATGGGATTGGAGTCTCAAAGGTGAGGGTTGGGCTACTAGGGTCCATGTAACTTGGGCAGAACAGCTGTGTACGAAAGTTGGGTGTCTCGGCAATAGGGTGACATCCATGTTGAATAAATTACTGAATATCAGTATAATTTAAAAAGCAAAGTCAGTTTTGTTCATATCTGCACAAATCTGCATCGACAGTAATGTCCACAATCCCAAACGTGTCGCTGACATAGAGGAGGACCCACTGTGCATCCAACCTCGATGCTTGAGCAGCGATGAGGATTAGTTGGTTACAGCTTTATCGAATGCAACGAAATGCATCCCATGGAGGAGGTCATTCATCCTACCATCAACCTACACCCACCTGCTGTGATCAGTTCACCTGGCGACGCTGGCTGCTGATTATAACGCTAAGTTGCAGTCGCAGAGCTCAAAGCAGACACTGGCGAGCTTCATCTCCTTCGCCATCGATGATGCCTGAGGGGCGTCCTTTCATGTATCCCCATCAGTTTCTCTAGTGCTCACGAACTTCGCATTTCCGGCACCGGAAGTACTGAAAGGTCCTGCAGTTGCTGAGGTTGATTTGGATTTGGAGCCATTCAACGGATCGGTGCAGGACTGATCAGTGCCCACTGGGAGAGGCTCTCGAGATGGCTAAGGAGAACTCGGCATGGCTGCAGCTAGTCCTAGGATTTCTCCTACTTGCGTCGGTGGCTCTGCGAGAATGCGCGGCCCTCCGGCCTTTGACCTCATTCTCGGCGTCTCAGGTGCCGGAAGAGCATCAGACCCCCGTCGGAGTTGCAGAAAGCAAGGACGAAGAGCCTGCTGAACTCGGGTAAGGGAGTGAGCATCTTAACAGACTCCTGGAGAGCGGTCCAGGGCAAATCATTTTTTCAGAGAACTGCGCTTATTTTGCAGCTTTCTCTATTCCGCCGTTAAGCTTTCCATCAATTGTTGGGTGAACCATTCTCTGTCCCTTACATTCGTGTATGATAATTTTGACACGAAATGTTCGCAGATTATTAGCAACAAAACATTCTCTGAACGTCTTATGCTTCTTGGCTTAGTATGTTCTTAAAACTTCCATAGTGGTTGGATCACGATGTAACTGGAGGCAGTTTGTAGCCCTCGCCTCTTCGCATGGCGCCAGTGGATTATGAACTGATTTTTGAGAATCTAAAGCGTGATTTCTAACGTAGAGAGGTGCAATGCAGCAGCTCCAACAGTACCCGCCGCTCTCTGGGAGGCTGTGGAACAGGCAACCCTGTGGACGACTGCTGGAGGTGTAGCAGCAATTGGGAAAGCAATCGTCAGGGCCTGGCAAACTGCGCCATTGGATTCGGCAGGAATGCTGTTGGTGGCAGAAACGGGAAGATCTACGTCGTCACCGATAGCTCTGACGACGATGTAGTAAACCCGGAGCCGGGTACTCTGCGCTGGGGTGTGATCCAGGAGGAGCCGCTCTGGATCGTTTTCAGTCGCAATATGAACATCAAGCTCAAGAAGGAGCTTATTATGAACAGTTACAAGACCATCGACGGGCGTGGTCAGAATGTTCACATCGCCGGCGGCGCTTGCATCACCATGCAGTTCGTGAACAACATAATCATCCACGGCGTTCACATTCACGACTGTAAGTCTGTGGGATCCGGAGACGTTCGTAGTTCCCCGACCCACGCTGGAAGCAGGGGAAAGACCGATGGAGACGGAATCAACATCTTCGGCTCTCGCGACATCTGGGTGGATCATTGCTACTTCTCGAACTGTGCTGATGGCCTGGTGGATGTCATTGAGGGCTCAACGGCTATTACCATCACCAACAGCTACTTTGAGAATCACGACAAGGTGATGTTGCTTGGCGCTCACGACAGCGACAAGCAGGACAGGAATATGCAAGTCACCGTGGCTTTCAACCATTTCGGCAAAAATCTAGTTGAGCGGATGCCAAGGTGATCACAATGCCGAGTTTTGATGATAATAGCGCTGCACTTGCACTCGAAGCTTGCTCTTTTCTGCAACCTCTCAATTAGATTGGTGAGGCTTGCAAAGTGGGATGTGGGTTCAATGGTTACTGACGGAAAGGCGATTCATTCGTTTGGCTGCAGATGTCGAAACGGGGTCTTTCACGTTGTGAACAACAACTACGAAGGGTGGGGAATGTACGCCATCGGAGGGAGTGCGTTTCCAACAATCAATAGCGAGGGCAATCGCTTCTTCGCTCCCGATGGCAGCAACATGAAGGAAGTAAGCTCCACATCTTTCACGACATTTCAACCCTATTCTCCCTCATACTGATCTTTGAAATTTTAATAATGCTCAGTGGAATCAACAATGAGACCCTTACTTGGTCGTTTGGTTTTTTTACAGGTGACAAAGCGGCTTGACGACGGAGGGGACAACTGGCGATCAGCTGGTGACATTTTCCTGAACGGTGCTTTCTTTACCGCATCAGGAGTCTCTGGTCAATCCCACTTCTACGCCAAGGCTACCAGCCTTTCTGCTCGCCCTGCCGCTATGGTGCCCTCGATGACTAACGATGCAGGCCCTCTCGCTTTGTGAACAAAGCGGGAGACTTGTAAGAGCTGAATCGTTTCCATACCACTGTTCAACATGATCGGGACTTTTCATGCTGCGCCAATAAGTAATTTAACTTGGTAATGGTAATGGTAATCGTCGTTTAACATAGTTTGAATTCCGAAATAGATAAGTAGATTGTAAGTTTGTTGTATTCGCAGTGTCCAGTGCTGGCCAGTCATGGTCGGCCTAGCTTAGAATACAATGTGACACAAAGTATGCTGTCCTGCGAAGCAATAACGTAGAGATAGACCTTAGAGCATCCTATGCATAGGTAGCTGCCTCCACCCGGTAGCTTTCGACCATTCTCATGCCACAAGTCGTAGGTTTTAGGTGACGATTGTGCACCTTGGCAGTAGCAATGTAGGTAGAAGAAGGGGAGAACGAATGTTTAATATTTGTAGTTTACCATTTGCTGTGTCGCTGTTGCATTTCTATCATAATTTCGAACACAATTCAAGAAATTTAGATCGGTTCAACTGCCCTGTTTAAGCGGCTTCTGCATTCCATTACCGACACTGACCTTGTGACAGAAAATTAATTGTGCAATACAACTGGTCTGATTTCGTGTCGCCATTGGCTTAAGAGGAGCGTGTGTCAACAAGGAAGTCTGTGGAGTATTGATTGCACTTGTCAGACTGAACGCTGCAGGCCAGGCAATCGGCTTTGCTTTTCTCAATCCTCACTCAATCTCATGACGAGACGTCCTTCACTTCCCGCCTCGAACCCCTTCCGATGCCCCTGCAAGCTCTGAGCTTCCACTGTTGTGCCTACAATCACTGTCAGATGCCGAAAACAATGTCTCCGTGTTCCCGTCGCCTGGTTTCCTTCTCACTCGAGTAACCATCATCTTGACTTGAGTTTCACGTCAATCAATCTGCTCACATTTACCAGGCCGTCAGGCCCATAATCTGCTGCAAAATCCTCTCTTGAGTACGTCAACTCCTGCCTTGTGGTCCATCGTCTTCTATGCTCTCTGCCATCTGTGTGCTTCACATCAGGTCGTAGCTTTCTTATGTTGATTAATCTCGCAGGTTTTATGTCGCTGGCGTGAGCACATAGTTCCCGCCGAGGGTCCTGCGCTGCTGATGCCACACCATTGTTTGTCCTTTTGCCCCACAGGCTTTGTTTAGCTTTCTGGTAAGAGTGCCTTACATTACGGAAGGTATCGAACGAGTGAAAATTGTATGATATATCAGAATATTGGTGTTTGTTGATTCTACAGACAGTTTCTGGTATTGATGGGAACATCACCTGACTTCATCCTGTATATGCATATGATAATTGAATGATCAATTACAAAAAATCTGTATCACAAAAATTTCATGACAGATAATTTTACATGTTCAAACTAGTACTGAACATGCACATACACATAACAATTATTCAGGTTTAACACCATAGAATAAAACTCATGTATGCATTTTTATAACCAAAAAATTAAAGTATAAGACAACATTTCAAGAGAAAATTTTAATGAATATTGCTGTTTTAATACATGAAACATCTGTGAAGGAGTTTTGCAAAATAATATATTATTAAATAATTAAAACCACACAATAGTTGTAAAGCTTATAAAAAAACTGACTTAAATTTTGAATAAAAACAAGCAATCAAAGCTTTAAACCTTACAAATACAATATTCTATTACAATTGCATAACATGTCGTTATAAAACTAATAATATTATCGTTATAAAACTAATAATAAGAGTGACTCCATCAATGCCAACATTCATGGAAAAATTGCCATGTTAACTATGTAAGCTAAAATAATAAGATGTCAATTTATGAATAATTTCATACCCCACGAGATAAAAACTGTGTAAGCAAAATTCATACTATCCATCATGACCCAATAGAATGCTGCATGTTCATATATACGTAGGTGCAAAAAGGGAGTGTTGATCACCCACAAGTATGCAGTCCTCATGAGAGCACAAACATACAATTCTTCAATTAATTCCACAACTAAAAATGCAATTCTTGTGTAGTTGGAATTGAAGAAAAAAGAAACTTCATGCACTTGAAATCAACACAAACAGATAATACACATGGAAAATCTACTCCCACCATTACCACATGAAACTTTGCAGACAGTTACATGACAAGTCCGATCTTTCTTTAATATCCTGAAAATTGTACAAATATTTCCTCCATATCAGGATGAAAGGGCCCAAACATCAGAAGAGGCACACAAAAATGGTGATAAATCCTGCTTCTGTACTTTAAAAGTCTCCTGTATAGCCATTGAACATCACAGGTGAGTGTTCAAAATTAACCTAGTACAGTCTTGTTAACCTTTTCAATGGTCATGCTTCGATGACATTGAAAAACAATACGCACACGTTGATTAGAGAGACCCACTCAAAAGAACACACTTAAATGCTAGTCATCATTTTCATGGCCCATCTCCTCCGAATGCAACCATGATGGTGACATCTCATAAATCGGATAACTAACTCAGATGGAATCAATTAAGCTTGGCCAAATAAACATACAACAGTTTTCAATCCCAACATCGATTTCGCCAACTCATGCGCAGTGTCAGACGACTGACTGTGCTGTGCCACAAACACAAAACATTCACAGGCCAAGGAATATACTGACTACGCATGTTTATCATCCATGTATAGTTTACACCCCTCCATGCTAGTAATCAAAAAGTGAACGACACCTTCACCATATGTCTGAACAGCCAGCAACACGCTCGTACTGGCATCGGTTGAAATAAACACTCTCCAAAACTACCTCGCCTCACACCACAGATTGAGACACTTCACCAACCATACGGCAACATTCTGAGCAAAATAACAAAAAAATGTCCAGGAAATCTACCATGTTCACGCAGTAACCAGCTCCCTTAACACGCACCACACTCGATACAAATACATGCACCGCAACAACTCTACACGTTTCCATTTCCTACTGAACCATGAAACAAAATTAAGCTCATTTCACCACCCCCAGTCGAATGCACAATCAGCCCCCACCACAATCCATTTTCCCACATGAAGAAAAAATAAATAAAACACACACACACCGACTAGCTAACCTCGTCACGCAGAATTCCATGCCTACATTCCTAACAATGTACATCTGGATACACATGAGATAAAAAAGCGAAGTAAAAGAAAAAGCAACAATCCGCATCCAACAAGCAGTTTCACGCAACCAACCAAGCCAAAAGTATGGACAACCAGAACCATTCCAACTGTGTGAGACAACAAATGATGACCAAACTCTTAACATATCTGGCCATTTTTATCACCACATAATTACACTTTCATTCCAATCACTAATTCCGACTATGCTGATAAATAATCTCTGCAACTCATCCTTCACACAAGGCTGCTCCCTCAAAAACCACATCCATCCCCGTTCGAGCACGACCTTGACACCGTCATCCGACGCTCACATGTCCGCCACCAATTCACCTCCACAAACCTCCACTCCGAAATCGCCTTCCAACCTTTTCCACCTACCCGACATCAGCCGCAATCTTGAAGCCACATCGCCAAAAAACGAGCTGCAGCACTTCGCACAAGCGAACCAACATTCCGCGCCTCATACAAAACACGCTTCGATAACCTCAGCTCAATCTCCAACAGCGCCAAACATGGTCTTCGAACCTGAAAATTATCCCAGGCGACTTACACGGAGCGATCGCCAATAACCTCTCCGTCTGAAACAACATTACGTGCTGCGAACAAAAACCCGCTCCAAATTCAGCCTCAGCGCATCCACCAGTTCCACCTCGACCTTCTCCACCTGAACCTGCCCAAGAAAACCTCACCACAAAAATGATCGCCTAACATTGTCGCAGAAGTATCATGCGCTAACTCGCCATACAGCCCAGTTTTACGCTTCCATGCGATCCACCCCCAAGCGATCTTCTGCATCGCCAA